AGTTAGATTGGAGGAAAAAATCAGATCGGAGAGCCCAGACGACGCCACGTGGCAACAGGAAAAAAAATCAAATCAGCGATGCACTGTAGCGATACTGTAGCGGGGGTACTATAGCAGTACTGTCGCAGATACTGTAGTGCTACAGTAACCCCCCTCGTTTTGGACCTCAGGCAGAACTTGCCTTCGGGCCAGCCTGGGGAGGTGGGTCCCACACCCCCCCCGGGCCTGGGCTGCTCCACTGGAACGCCATTTTTTTTCCCCCCCTAGCCTCGGGCTGGGCTGCAGCGGTGGAAAGGCTCTTAGTCGTTCGCTAAGCTTCCTGGGACGCTGGTGGAGCTACTTTCTTCTTCCTCTCCCTTTGGTCTTGCTTTTAAGTATTCCTTATGCAGGTTATGAATTCAAGCCTCAGAAGACTTGGCAGAGCAGGAATCAGCAGAACCGGATGAACCCTCAAAAGAGACTGAGGGAAAAAGGTATCGACCCTCTTAGGCACAAGCTTGTTGCCAAGGTCGAGTATGAGGGGGGCTCTGCCCTCCTTTGGCCTTATATATATATAATATATATACTAGTTAATTAGTGTAACGTGCATCAACTGAAAGCATGTGAATGAGGATCGATTGATCAAAGGAAGTAAAAATAGCATGATCTAATTAAGAACAGTAGGGTATATAAAGACTCACCATTTCCTAAAAAAGAGTTGCTCTTGTTTGGATGAGTAGTGGCAGCAGCATCCATGGCGATTCAAAAATGTGAAGGGTTCAACTCTTGGGCTAGGAGAGCTTCTTGGCGAGAGCTTGCTTGCACTTGCCCTGCTAATGAAATAACGTGGGTATTTGAAACAACATAAATGTACACGTACTGTAGCATGGCCGAAAATTCCAAATTAAGTCCAACTTTTCTGTTTCCATTGGCCCCAGCTCATCTAATTTATATTGTCAATTGTTATGAGATACAGCTGACAAATAGATCTAACAACAGGAGCAACATGTTTGCTGCACAGACAGACCACTAAAATCTTGCCATCTCACAAGAACATCAGGCACACTTTTGCTCAACACGCAGTGGCAATGGATCCTTTTTCTTGTCGAAATTTTTTAATCTTGTGATCAACCCATGTCGAAATTTTCGGGCTCGGCTTGAACAATTTCTTTGTTTATTTTTTGTTATTTTGATTTGATTAACTTGCCTTAATTTATTTTGTTTCTTTTGTGATGATTATTGACTTGCTTGCCTTGGTGGCGTGGTCTGTGTGGTGGCGTGGTCTCTGTGGTGGCATGCTGTAACTATAGTTACTATACAACGAGGGTATAGAATATTGGATTGGACTAGACAAATTTTTATTACAAAATTAGTGAAACACTCAATTCTAGACATGAAATTATAAATATACTTAATACTATTTAAAACATAGAAACACACTTAAAATAAACCCAAAAATCAACAATTGTATATTTTTTAGGTGTGTTTATAAATAAATTTTGAGTGTGTTTAATAAATGAGTTTTGAATGTGTTTATAAAGTGTTTTTCATGTGAAATTTTTTTATAATTTCAACCCTTATTTTAGGTGTATTAGTAAAACTCCCAATTTTTATCCCATGTTTGTTTTCACTTGGTACTGGTTTTAAGTGGGACTGTTAATACTGGCCCCACCAAAAACACCCCCTTGGGTAGGGGTGGTTGCGGTTCGGTAACCGCGAATTTTTATTCAAACCGCAAACCGACCGACTATTTGCGGTTTGGTGATTTTTGAAACCGCAAACCGACCGCGTTTTGCGGTTTAAAACCGCGAGTTCTCAAGCATTCACAAAAATATAAATTCACAACCTAAATAAATAAATACACAACCTCAATTTCTTAAACATATATAAATTCACAATCTCTTCAACTTCTCAAGCATTCACAACATAAGAAAATTAAAGTTACAATTTCAAGCATTCCAATTAAAGTTAAACTTCTCAAGCATTCCAATTCCAAATCCTTTAAAGTTATAAACAAAAAGGAAAATGCAAAGTAAAATGAATTAAAGTTACAACAAAAAAGAAAAATCTAATTCAAAGTTAATTAAAGTTACAAACTAAAAGGAAAATGCAATGCACCAATGTTACAAACTAAAGTTACAAACTCAAGTGTTGGTGGTGAGTGGATTTGAAGAACCCCGTTGTGTTGTTTGAGTACCAATGTTATTTACAAATAAAACAACATAGTGTAGTACATTTTATTATAAGAAGAAGCATAAATAACATTAGTATAAATAAACTAATTACTTACAAGTTGTCATATGTTCCATTTCCTTGTAAAATTCAACTTCATCATCCGTGTGGCTATACTTCGCGGTTTGCGGTAACCGCAAGTTTTGAAAATCAAATACCGCAACCGCAACCGCAAATGCGGTTCGGTTCTTAATACCACAAATGCGGTTCGGTTTACCGCGATTGCGGTTTCATTGCGGTAAATTGTCGGTTGATTTTTGCGAAAGCAGAGGGATTCGGTTTTAAATGCCACCCCTACCCTTGGGTGTCTTAGCGAGACCCGAGTGGAGAGGGGGGACAAGCTAGTCCCAACCCAAGCGCTTGCAACAACCAAGCCCTTGCCGCAACGATCGACCGCCCAACCGCCTTCCACAACCACCGACCACCCAAGCACCTGCAACCGATCCAAACCCCACCGTCACAGCCACATGCAGTGAACCCCAATACAACATCGCAGTCAGTTCCAATCAGTTTCGGCGAGCATCGATTGGAGATAATGACTTCGCAGCTTGAACTATGGGCTGTGGACACGACGATTGTGCAACGATGGTGACTGTGAGACGATGATGACTGTGCAAGCAGAGGGAGAAGTAGAAGACAGTATATTGAGAAGAAGCAAAGATAAAATTTTCGGGAAAAAAAAAAGGAACAGAGAAAAATTTTGGAAAAAAAAAAAGCAAAGAGAAAAAATTTCGAAAAAAAAAACAAAGAGAAACATATATTGAGAAGAAGAGGCAAAGGAGAGAGGCTGGAGAAGAAGAAGAGAAGAAGAGGAGAAGGAGAGAGAGTATTGAGAAGAAGAAGCAAGTCGCGGGAGGAAGAAGAAAAGAAGACGCGGAGATAGAAGAAAAGTCAAAAAAATAATATTAAATTCACTTTAATATATTTTTAAAAATTAAAATATATATATATAGTCCTCGTCCAAACATACACCAAATGAAAGACAATTGTTATTCAGTTTAGACCAACCTAAGCCAATCCAAGACAGTCCCTAATTATAGTCTATGCCAAGACAGTCCTTCGTACCAAACGAGCCCCAATAGTCCTTAACGCCACCTAGTCCTTATTCGCGTGTCACGATGTCATTGGAGATGTGGAACCCACTTACCATCTATGTCAGCAATTTAACAGAGTTTCTAACGGTAAGATTATTTTGATATAGACTAGGTAACGTTAAGAACTATTAATGTCACAAAAAACTATTAACAACAAAAGGTGATAATTTCGCTAAACTCAAGAACCATTTGCGATAAAAAGCCCAAAATAAAATTCAAAATTACAGTACAAAATAAAATTCATAATTAATAATAAAACATGACAACAATTTGTTGGTTCTTAGTTTTTTTTGTTGATTGAAATAAAGTCGATCGGGGTCCTGCGACCATTTCTCCAAGAGCATACCGCCAAGCCCACTATATAGTTGTGTTCTCACTCTTTTCTCTCACCTGAAATCATAACAAATCTATTATTATGAATGAGCAAGTTAAGGTCTCAGAACGTAACTAGACCTATTCCAGAATCGCCACAAAACTAGTAATTCTGGTACTCATGTTTTAGCCAGTTGCACTCAAACCTAAATCTTTTTTTTTAACACAGTGCAGGAGGTGAAACAAGGAGTGTTAAAATCACTAGCAGTGGAGGCGAAAAGCATGCTATACAAGTAGCGCCAGTGTCTATACTTATGGTAGGTGGGAAGGAGAAGGGAGAGTGAAAGACAATCATTAAAACAAAATGTGACACTCACATAACCCTTGTGGCAAATCTGCACCATATGGGCTTGACGAGTAAGAAAGCAACAAGGATGACACCCATACCCAGACACAAAGGATTTCTGCATCCATGGAGGAATAAATTTGAACATGGTAGAGGTACTAGTACTGTATATATAAAATTCTATATATAAATATATGGTAGAAAGAACATCATCTATCCTCGTGTGTAGTGTAGGGGAACTAGTGTGTTACCTCATTAGTCTCGTAATGGCATTGTATCCCACGAAAATCAAACAGCCAATTGCCCAAGGAGGTAGTTGAAAACGCGCGTTGGCCTCCTGAAAGTAAAACAGCATGTTGAATTTATGGACTAGGTATGAGTGTGAGTAAGTTAAATTCAGAGAGATTTTTAAGCTGATGAAACGCATCATTCATGAGTAAGTTTATCTAAACCTAAAGAAAACCTGAAACAGACTTTAACCATAGTTCCATAACAGCAGGCGATCAAATAAAACATAGTTCCATGAGAGAAAACGAAACTATTTATAGTTCACATATAGTTTCCATTTATTAATAGGTGAGATATCATACCTGTTCAGCAATGGCCTTCAAAACAATGTCCTTGGTGTTTTCCTTGAATTCCTTCCACAACTCTTTGCATTTAAGAGGTATGATCAATGTTTTTGATGATGGAAACTGGATAGGAAGGGGAAAGTCAGAAAACCTTATATATGGTCTTACGCGAGGGAGAGAGAGAGAGAGCCATGGGAGAGCTGGCCTTGCGTGGGGTAAGGATTAGGTCAAGTGCTTAAACTCAAGCCCAATACGGCCCGGCCTGCTCCAGCCCTCTCAATCTTATTTGTGAATATTTTTCTACTTAATCAAGTATACAATATCTTTGAATATTAATAAATTAAGACTGGATATACAGATATGGGCTTAACCAAGTTGGTTAGAGCAGATGTGTTCTTCATTCTGCACCCAAGTTCGAAACCGTCTCCCTGTAATTTAGATTAAAGTATAATATCATTTGTATAAAAAATAATAATAATAAAATTGGATAAAATTGAATATATTAATAAATAAATATGTATCTATGTTTTTTGTGTTGTTGAGAGATCTATCTTTAAATTAAGCAAAAAAAAAGGCACAAAAGAAGGGTCACCTCTTCCCAAGCATTTAAAGCCAGTAGGTCGTATGTTGTGGTACTCATATCTTTACCCAGCAAGGCACTGTCTAAAGTAGGCCGAACTTTATCACCATCATTATCACCATCCAAACGGATCACAGCCATAACAGAAAGCACTTCTAGGGACTGCAAAAATTACAGAATATGAATATATATAGTTAACAAAGCTTCAGTTCAAATTCAAACTTTCAAGAACTGTCAATATATATGACTACTCATAATTAATAAAAATTGAGCCATACTGAAGAATGAGCAGTTCTGGCAATCTCTCCAATATTTTCCCGCCGATTCCAAACACGTGGGATTGAATTAGAATCGTAGCTAAATTTTGTTATAAACCTGTAAAAGGCAATTTAAATATCAATTGCATACAATAAAATCTTAAATAACGTTCAAACCATTGTGAGGGAGAGAATTCCCTACCTCTCCTCCAAGCGCTTGAGGACCCTTCCAGCCTCTTCCTTTGCTTTATCTTCAACCACACGTCTTGCATATTTCTCTAGACTTGCATCTATTTTGGCTTTGGTTTGTTCATCCATGTCAAAACCAGAAATTGCAGCAGCGAAAGCTGATTTAGCCTTTTG